AGGAGAAGGTTCAGTGTGCACACACTTGAGAACTACCACACACGTACACGCCACACACATCACACACACACACGTTGCACACACACTCCAGGTGGTGTTGAGCCAGGGATGCATCTGTCCGAATGGCACTCTGTTGTCCGGATCTTCTGATGGTTGTGGTCTGACTTACGACACCTCCCCCACCCCGCGGCACAAGACCTGCCTTCTCTAAATCTTGCGTTCGACAACAACACTCTTGCTTGGAACTTAGTCTCAGTCGGTGGTCTTCGAACTTAGGTCGTTCAGAATCATGGGGAATGGCTCAAACACAGACCACGGGCCCACCTCCCGAGAGTCCCCACGTCACTAGGTCTGGGGTGGCCTGAGAAGGTGCACGTCTAACGCGGTCCCGGAGATGCCGCGCTAGTGATCATGGACCACCCTCTCCGAACCACTGCTCGCGTCTCCCGGGCCAGCTCTGTGCCCCTGGATGGGTCAACTGTTCCCCAGGGGGAAATAAGTTTTCTTTTCCTTAAATCTCCATCAACATCCACCTCAGCTTTATCATGCTGAGATACAGTTGTTGTTTCTCACATGTAAGCGAATTCCTAAAGCAGGGTTTCTCCTCTCTGTCAACGTGGACTTTTTGCCATACCCCTATGACACGACACGAAAGTCTGGATTTCCCTTCTGCCTGCCATGCAAATAATCAGAGCACCCTCTCGTTAGTTTAAGGGGCAAAGCTCCACCCCTATTCTGTCTCGTTGGGATAAGGCTTAATCAACCGCTGCTTGGCTTCTTGTTACAGTAGCACTTTTCTAGGGTGCTTAAAGACGATATGTTGCTGCTGAGAGCTTGACAGAGCTCCAGCATCAAAGGTGAGGCCAGGAGGCTCTGGCCACTGTTCAGCAACCTGCCAGGGAGAGAGGGGACGGGGTGGCTCAACGAAGCCAGTTTGCCCAAGTCCGAGCTATTCCCGGGGCGGGGGGTGGGGTGGGTGGGGACATTTGTTGCAAATACGGACAAAAAGTTTGAACTAAAAGCAAAAGAATGAACCATTTAAAAACAATCTTTTAAAATGCTAAAAGAAGGTTTTGTTTTTTTTTTTTATGGCTAGGTGGCTCTATTTGGGGAGGAAATGGCAAACGGGAATTTCTCAAAAACTTGAAGATGAAAGTGTAGCAGCAAGCAGCAAACATCCCTCTCCCTTCACAAGCGGCGTTACTCTGTGCAGATCTCTGCCCCCCACCAGGGTCCTCCGGGTAGCAAGGCGGGAGGACTCTGGGCTTTGAAAGCAGGGGACCTGGGCTGGAGACCCCCATGCCTCTCACCTTTGCCTTGGGTGTCACTTAACCTCTCTGGATCAGCCGCTGCATCCTGCAAGGGACGCTACTGCCCGGGGTGTCTGGGAGAGTGGAAAGGAGGAGCAGCGAGGACTCTGGCGAAGGGCGAACGACCAATCGCCAGCATCCTCGCTGCTTGCAGGTGCCGTGGGCAGCGTCTCCGCACTTTTTCTTTCCCCCCGTCCCGCCCTGTCCCAGTCTGGACGTCACCGGTCTCCCTTTCCCTGCTCACAGCTGAATCCGTGCAGGAAAATGAGATTTTGCCAGCAAGATTGATTCGCCTCTGATTGTACTTTGCAAAGCCGGCTCTCTATGCCCAGCAAGGGGGGAGGAACTCAGATAAACTCAGACTCCTGGGAAGCTCCCCCCACCCCAGGGTCTGTCTTGGGGCTCGTGCCTCTGACTGAACACACAGGTGCAGCGGGGTTCGCACTCGCCCCGGGGGGCTGGCAGCAACTCACCTCTCACACCTGTCTGGACCCAGCACCTCTCCCAATTCAGGGCAACGCATCACGCCCCGGTTCAGTCAGCAGTGGACCTCAGGCTTACCCGAGAGTGACTTCGCTCCTCGGCCGGCCGTGGAAACGCAAGGTGCCGCTCTCGGTGGGCGCGGCCTCTCTCTATGGAACACGGCTCGCTCCCGTGATACATATAAAATCGACAGATCGCAGGGTGGTCGTAATTCAGACGCCAGTCTACACGGGGATGAGATTTTCATTTAAAAGCACCAGACCAGCGTCCACTCCCACGATAAGGTGCCCGTGGCCTCCTCCCCTCCTCCCTCCCGCCTCCCCCCACCCCGTGCCCTCCCGGCTCCCGCTGAGTTAGAATTTTCTGAAAACAACCTAAGGGGGACCCAGCATTAGCTATAATACACACTCCTCATTGAAGGAGAACAACTTGAAGAACGTGCACTACCCAGTTTCAGACGCTTTATACAGGCTATTTCCGGGTCGGTCACCAATCAACATATGGACCGCTGGCACGTATAAAGAGCTGGAATAGAGCGTACTTACACCAGGTCGATTACGTTATTACATAGCACAAGTTGCTTCAATGGAAGAGCGACATCTTCAACAAATGGTGCTGGGCAGTGAATATCCGTAACAACAAATTACTAAACTACACTACTCCACATAAAAACCATACTATCCCATAAAAACCACATGCTACTCCCAAACCTACACTCACTATCCACATATTAAATTATACATTCCAATATATAACATAACTACTCCATAATAAACCATACATCACTCACATATAAACCTACCTACTCCACATATAAAACATAGGCAACTCCACATGATAAACCATGCCTAATCCCATAAAAAACCAATTATCCACATAAACCACATGCCACTCCACATATAAACCAAACTACTCCCATAAAACATATACTATTCATATATTAAACCATAACACCCCAATAAAACCTAGACTATTCCATATATAAACCGATGCACTACTCCACATAAAACCATATATATTCCACATAAAAACCACAGCACTCCACATTAACCATACATACTTCCACATAAAAACCATATACTATTCATATATATACAATACCTACTCTACTAAAAACCATATACTATTCCATATATCAACCATACCTTCTCCACATATAAACCATACACTACCACATAAAACCATATACATATCATATACTAAACGGCATTACACTCTCGTACATAAAAACCTATACTTTCCAATAAACCATCCAACCCACATAAACATAATAACTATTCCATATATGAAACATACCACTTCCACATTAACCATACACCTCACATAAAAACCATATACTTTCCATATCTAACCTACCTACTCTACATAAAAACCATATACGTATTCCATATATAAAACATACACTCTACATAAAACCATATACTATTCGCATATATAAACATAATCACTCTCCAAGTATGTATAAACATCACTACTCCATAAAACACATATATTCCATATATACCATACACTATCTACTACTCCACATAAAAACCATATACTATTCCATATATAAACCATACACTACTCCACATAAAAACCATATACTATTCCATATATAAACCATACACTCTCCACATATAAACCATACACTACTCCACATATAAACCATATACTATTCCATATATAAACCATACACTACTCCACATAAAAACCATATACTATTCCATATATAAACCATACACTCTCCATATATAAACCATACACTACTCCACATATGAAAATCAACTCAAAATTAATCATAGAACTAAATGTAAAGCTTAAAAGTATAAAATGTCTAGAAGAAAACACAAGAAAAAATTCTTTGTGACTTTGGGTTATGCAAAAGTTTCTAAAATGCACCACGACAAGCATGATCCATTAAAAAAAACCTGGTACATTTTACCTTTCTAAAATTCAAATCTGCTTTTCAAAGTTCACTAATAAAAAAAAATAGAAAGACAAGACAGACTAGGAGAAAGCACTTACAAGTCACACAACTAAGAAAGGAACTGCTTCCAGTATTTATAAAAGAAACCCTTCTAAACCTTAAGAAGATTTGTAACACTACAGGAAAATGCTACTCTTCTCACCAAATTTAGTTTCTGTTTTTGAGACTATAATTATTTTCCACAAAAATGTTATCGATGTTATTGATGCCCGCCCTAGCAACTCGCTTCATTGATAAAAAACCAAAAACCCCAAGAAACAAACGAACAAAAAAACCACCGCACCCCGTGCTCTTTTGCTGGGCTGTGCCCGTCACCAGGGGCCGTGCAGGGCAGGCTGGGTGTCCCCTCTTGCCTCCCAGATGCTCTGGAAATTCCTCTGGTTGAAGAAGAGGTAAGCGGACTTCTGAGATTATCAAACCCCTTTAGTGCCCATGAGTTATTTTGGGGACATATGGAAAGCCATACACTACTCCACATATAAACCCTACACTACTCCACATGTAAACCACATGCTACTCCACAAACCATACACTCACTACTCCATATATGAAATATACACTATTCCATATATAAACCATACACTACTTCACATATAAAATGGGTGGGGAAGGTCCCCCACATAGAATGGGGTGGAGAAGGTCTCCAAGACCCCCCACCCCACTCTAAGCCTCTTTGCAGAGACAGGAAATGGGACCTCCCACGTTTCCCCTGGCGCTGTCTGGGCTGGAGTCTCTTGAGACCGGAGCCCACACGAGACTAGATTTGTGCCTTAATCCAAACTCATCCATTCATTCGTTCACCTATCCTAGCCTTTAAGAGATTTTTTTTTTTTTTCCATTTCAGGTAATTGGGCAGCAATGGAATCCATGCGGGTCAAGGGGTAGACAGCTGGAAACCTGAGTTTGACCCCCTGCCTGCATTTATGGGTTCCGGGGTGCCAGCGAGGCCGTCTTGTTAAGACACCAAATATCGGCCCCCAGAGCAGGGTTTCCCAGCCTCAGTTCTGCTGACGTTGGAGCCAGGCAGCCCCTTGTTCTGGGGGGGCTGTTTCCCAAGTATCGTAGGATATTTAACTGTACCCCTGGCCTCTGCCCATTAAATGCCTATCTGCCACACACCCTCCCTGCATTCATTTGTGACAACCAAACATGTCCCCAGGCATGTCCCCTCGGGACGGAATCGCTCACGGCTGAGAATCACTGCCTAATTGTGCGGGGTTTGGGGACAGAGGACAAACCTGGGCTTCTCTTCTTACAGATGGGTCCTGTTTCCTCTGAACGGTCTAGAAGCCCTCCTCCCGGAGGAGCCAGACCTTGAGTCTTTTGGTGGCTGTCCTCAGAGCCCGAGTCCCCTGGCCACACAGAGCGGGCTCGTCCGTTCCCACTGGCCCATGCTACAGGCTACTTACTGGCCCCGTAGCCTGGACGGGCCCACACGGGACGCCCCAGAGACCGGGGCAGCTGTGCCGGTGCAGTCCTAGAAGCAGCAGCACCAGGTTTGCTTTACGACTTGGAAACTGCTTCCGCCTGCATCTGGAGTGGGATTGGAGAGAGTCTCGGGCAGAGGCGAGGGGAGGATTCGTGGGCAAAACCCTGGGGGTGTCATTTCCAGCAGGCGGTGATTCCCCCCCTTGCCCATTGCTGAGGTGTAAACGCAGCGAGCTGCTGAGCTTGCACTGCGCCCTGGCCTCGGGGAGCCGTTGGTGTCTCTCATGCATCGGCATTCGAATGTTGTTGAGGGCTTAAAGGCCCTGCAGAGGGCCAGGGTGAGGAGGAAAAGCGGATCTGGTTGATAGATGAATAAAAATGGCTTGTATTTATAAAGCTCATTTGTCCCAAGTGCTCAAAGCACTTACACATAACAACATAATTATTTTCTCAACGTCTTAGCTTGGCAGTAAAAGAAAAAAAAAAACAAACAGGGAGAAGAAGTTGGAGAATTGTAAGAAAGCTGGATTTGTAGGAAAGAGGATTTACTTTGGAGACAGGAGACTCAGTTTCCATCTCTGCCTCGGTTGCTAGCTTGGCTGTTTGGTTCGGTCACTCAAATTCTCTGGTTCTTTCCTGTTTTATAAAATGTAGAATGGTGTATACTTTCCTTTTTTTTTTTTTTTTTTTTTTTGAGTCTTGCTCTGTCTCCCGGGCTAGAGTGCCGTGGTGTCAGCCTAGCTCACAGCAACCTCAAACTCCTGGGCTCAAGCGATCCTCCTGCCTCATCCTCCCTGGTAGCTGGGACTACGGGCATGCGCCACCACACCTGGCTAATTTTTCTATTCTTAGTAGAGACGGGGTCTCGCTCTTGCTCAGGCTGGTCTCTAACTCCTGAGCTCAAGTGATCCTCCCGCCTCAGCCTCCCGGAGTGCTGGGATCACAGGCGTGAGCCCCCCGCGCCCGGCCTACTTTCCTGTTTTCCTGACAAGGTTGATGTCAAGATAGTATTGTAAGAACTTGATGCAATTTTACACGAACACAGAGTACTATGGTCATCTTTATTCTTCAGTTCTCTCTTATTTTCCCTGATTTGCTTGACTTCTCACTTTTAGCAGGGGGGTGATGATTTCGTTTTTTTGTGAGCTTTTCTAGAATCATAGAATATTTAGCCTGAAAGGCACCTCATGATACAGTTCAATCTCTTCTTTTTTTCAGAAGAGGAAACAGGCACAGATGTGTTATTAATAAATCACTTAAACAGGGCTGCACGCAGTTTCTCGTGGAAGCTCAATTCTCCAACTCTAACATTCCCAGGGGCTTGTCTTTTGCCGGTGACTCTGCATTTCTGACCACGAGGGGAAAAAAAAAACAACTCTGCTTGGAGAGTGAGTGGTTATTTTAGACATGGAGCCTGTAATTGAAGATAAGATTATTGCAATGAAATAAAAATGAGAGATTATTAGATATTTATTCAGAAAGACAAGTGTAGGGAGTCCGATGACATTGAGATTACATTTTGTCTCTTGCAGTCGAGGCCGGGTGAAGGTTTTGTGTCGGTCAGTGAAGGTCCAGGGCTAGGTTGGGAGGCAGCCGCACCACTGGCAGTTTGCTTTTGATGGTGTAAAATCCTGCAAAGTTGATTTCCGTTGTAAAGGGGAAGGAGCAATTTAAAGTAAAAGGAGTACGCTTGTGTGAGTGTGTGTGTGTGTGTGTGTGTGTGCTCGCTCTAAGGGTAGGGGAGAGTAAGCAATGAATAAATCTGTACTTTGGCGAGTGATCGTTGTGAAGGTAGGGATGGAAGCCACTGTGAGTCGGACATACAGGCTCCTGGGATGCCAGAGCCCAGGCAGAACGGTTGGCCCTCAGGGACTGACGCCGTGTCCACGACTGATGTTTCCCTTCACAGCCCTTTGCTAGTCCTTCCACCTAACAACGCTCCAGTCTCAGAGCCCCAAGGCAAAAGCAGAATGCCAGTAGGATGAAAGGAAGATGTCTTAATAACGTTTTATAAAAAAATTCTACTATGGCGGAAACCTTCAATAAATTCAGTCATCCCTTCAAAACATGTTTATCGATATCTACGACGCGTGAGAAACACAGGTGCTAAATACTATAGTACTTAGTGCTGAGTACTCCAGGGTCTGGCTACTCAAAGTGTGGTCCATGACTGGCCTCATAGGCCTTGCTGGGGACTACCATGTTTCCCCGAAAATAAGCCCTAGCAGGATTTCTAAGCGTTTGCGCAATAGAAGCCCTACCCGGAAAATAAGACCTAGTGACGGGCGTGGCTGCGCAGCGCATCTGCACAACCCGTGCGTGTCGTCGCGGAGCGGGAAAGAAGACGAGCAGCCCTTCTCCTCTGCCCCATCGTGACAGCTGCTGTCCCAGAGGGGACCGGAAAGGTGCGGGCAGCCCCACCAACAAGGTCGGCTCCCCCTGTCAGGTCCCGGCCACCCTGTGCGTGCTGCAAGCTGAGGCTTTCAGGGGAAAATAACACATCCCCTGAAAATAAGCCCTAGGGTGTCTTGTTGAGGAAAAATAAATATAAGATCCTGTCGTGTTTTCGGGGAAACACGGTAGTTAGACACTCCCACCTGAGACTGACTGAACCAGAATCTGCATTTTACCACGTAGCCCAGGTGAGAAGTGCAGCCACAGGGAGCAGCCACGGAGGGCTTTCTCGCAAGAATATTTCCGAAGACTACTTTGAGAAACCGCACCGTCGGGTGGGAAGGGAGCCCTGGAGAGTAGAGGTGATCGGCTTTCTTATTCGTCGAGGAACACAGCTTGATTGTGCCCCAGTAAAAAACTGGTGGAAACTATGTCACTTGGGCCCCTTCGGGTCGGTAGCTTTGGGAGGGACATCCGAGTTACCACGGTGCCAGGCTGGGAGCAGAGGAAGGAACAAGCGCTGTCCAGTGGTCCACGTAAGACGTCCCGAGGGATGGCCCTGGCGTGGCTCTAGGGGTTATTCAGACAAGGACAGGAGCGACTGGGGAAACTTGGTCTACACGGCATAGGTATTTTATATTCTGCCTTTTATTCCTCTTCCCATTGAAATGCGTTTTCAAGCATTTAAAGAGCCGACCTCTCTTGGTGCCCATCTGAGACTTATTTTCCCACTTGGTGTCACGGGACAGCCACACCACCGTGCTCACTTCATACTCTGCGTCGGGTGGACGGCTCCCCGGGGCTGCGGGGCCCCAGGTTCTCCACGGGAAGAAGGGCCGAAGCTCATTTGGGAGAGCAGCAGGTGCGTGGGCAGGTCCCGGGGTGCGCGGAAAAGGCCCACAGACATCCTGTCGGTGTGAGACGCCAAGAGAGAGCCGGGCTGAACCCGAGCTGCAAATGAGAACATCGCTCCTGCCTGGCGTCTCTCCCTCAGCAGCTCGGGGGTGAAAATGAGATTTCCCCAAACAATCGCTCATCGTTTATTTCCGGCGCGAGCATCCTTCTGTCCCAGGCTTGTTGCAAACGTCCAGACTTTGTTACTCAAGAGACGGCTCTGCTCTCCCAGGAGGGAACGCCATTCCCCTTTGTGAAACAAGGGAGTTGCCCAAAGGACTCTTTTTCTCTTTTTTTTTTTTTTGAGACAGAGTCTCACTCTGTTGCCCAGGCTAGAGTGAGTGCCGTGGCGTCAGCCTAGCTCACAGCAACCTCAAACTCCTGGGCTCAAGCGATCCTCCTGCCTCAGCCTCCCGAGTAGCTGGGACTACAGGCATGCGCCACCATGCCCGGCTAATTTTTTCTATATATATCAGTTGGCCAATTAATTTCTTTCTATTTATAGTAGAGATGGGGTCTCGCTCTTGCTCAGGCTGGTTTCGAACTCCTGACCTCGAGTAATCCGCCCGCCTCGGCCTCCCAGAGAGCTAGGATTGCAGGCGTGAGCCAACGCGCCTGGCCTCAAAGGACTCTTTTTTTTTCTTTTTAGCAGTTTTTAATGAAGGTTGCACATAAGATTATTTTATTCTTGCATCTTCTCAAGTGTTTCTTCCTTGTACTCGCCCTTTTCCTTTCCTACTTGTCGAGATTTCGCTTTCCGTTCAAGGATCTTTTTGCGGTCTTTGTCCAGTGTAAGCCTAGTGATAACCACCTTGCTGGGGGGAATGCCCACGTGGACAGTCGTGCCGTTGGCCTTTTCCCGCTGCACCTGTTCAATGTAGATGACATATTTCTTCCTATAAACCTGGACTACTTTGCTGATTTGCTGACCCTTAGTGTTCCCCGAACCACCTGAACTTCATCATCCTTTCGGATGGGCATGGATTGAACATTGTATTTCTGTCTCAGCTCTCTGGAAAGAGGGGAAGACATAATCTTCCTGCGAACATGGGAAGGTGCATTGAAATGCCTTTTCCAGTTCTTGCTTCGGTCCGAAGTCACAAAGGGATTGAACTTCATTTTGGCCGTTGCCACTCCGGTGATAGCAGCAAAAGGGAAGACAAAGGACTCTTTATATGCTTTTTTACAAAGCAATTTTTTATTTTTAAAATTTCTTTTTTCTTTCTTTTTTTTTTTGAGACAGAGTCTCACTCTGTTGCCCGGGCTAGAGTGAGTGCCGTGGCGTCGGCCTAGCTCACAGCAACCTCAATCTCCTGGGTTCAAGCGATCCTTCTGCCTCAGCCTCCCGAGTAGCTGGGACTACAGGCATGCGCCACTGCCTCAGGCTGGTTTTGAACTCCTGACCTTAAGCGATCCTCCTGCCTCGGCCTCCCAGAGTGCTGGGATTACAGGCGTGAGCCACCGCGCCCGGCCTAAAAATATCCTATTTCCAGAAAAGTAGAAATAAGCGTACGATGAATGCTGGTGTGTGTGTGTGTGTGTGTGTGTGTAAATGACGAATCCAGGCCAGCTGTCTTCTAGAATCCCCGCACCTGGATTTGCCTCTCTTAAGGTCAAAGAGAAGGGCCTAGAAGTATTGACACCCCAGTAACCAGGAGCATTTTGGGCAAGAAAGCCGCCTCAGTGACATGCACTTCTCATTGCTTCGCATTACGAACTGTGTGATGGCAGTTTGCTTCATCACCAGCGATGTTTATTCTGACCACTCGCTTAAGGTGGTCTTTGCGAGATGTCTCCATTGTGAGTTGCCTTGTCTCCTTTCTCGCTGACATGTGACCTGTTGAGAGTTGGAGAGCGTGTGAGCATCCTGTTTCCCAATAGGCTTTCGCCCAACAGCTTTAGCTTTCATTGACAACATTTGATTAAATGAATTACAACACTGGGGTTTGCAAAGTGATTGATTTTTCTAATTTTATAATTCCTGCCGTACTTGTTGGTTGGCATTCTTTTGTAGAGAAGAAAGAGCCCCCCTCTCACCTTTCCTCTTTGTCTCTTTTTCTCTCTCTGTCTCTAATTTCTGAATATCACTATGGAATTATGGATTATTAAAAATTCCATGTGCTATAATCCATTACTATTTATTTTTTAGAATTCTCCAATTATTCTAAATGTGTCCCATTGGACCTTCAGGTTAATTCCTGTGTCCTTTGACATGTCCCTACTGGATTAAAAAAAAACACAAAAAACACATCCTTAGTTTGTGGTAAAACAAGATGTTCCAGGCTCCTTTGTGCTTTCACTACCCAAGGCCTGGGACCAAACATTGCTCCAAGGGGCTGTGATCCTCTTAGAGGGAAGCAGTATTTAGAAACAGTATTTAGTGGAGAATGCTTAGGTGTGCTCCTGGCTACTGGGGTATCAATACTTCTAGGCTCTTTCTGTAGACAGAACTAGAAAATATATTTTTAAAAATAATAAATTTTTCCCAAGTTGATCTCTAGATTCAATGCAATCCCAGTCAAAATCCCAATATGGTATTTATAGAAGTTTGTTAAAATTTATCTGAAAAATCAAAGGACCCAGCATAGCTATAATAAAACAATCTCTTAAAGAGAAGCAAACTTGAAGGACATGCACTACCTAGGCTCAAGACATATTATAAAGTTATATACATATACAACAAAATTGCTCAAAATCATACACTACTCCATATGTAAATCATACACCACGCCACATATAAACCATCCACTACTCCACATATAAATCATACACTATTCCATATATAAACCAAAACACTATCCCACATATAAAAATAAACTCAAAATTAATCATAGAACTAAATGTAAGACCTAAAAGTATAAAACTTCTAGAATAAAACACAAGGAAAAATTCTTTGTGACTTTGGGTTATGCAAAAATTTCCAAAATGATCCATTTAAAAACATTGATAAATTGGACTTTACTACAATTGACATCTGCTTTTCAAAGTTCACTAATAAAAAAACAGAAAGACAAGACAGACTAGGAGAAAGGACTCACTCATCACACAACTAATAAAGGAACTGATTCCAGTATTTATAAAAAGAACCCTTTTAAACCTTAAGAACATTTGTAATGCCACAAGAAAATGCTACTCTTCTCACCAAATTTAGCTTTTGTTTTTGAGACTGTAATTATTTTTCATAAAAATGTTTTTGATGTTGGTAGGTAATGAATTGCTATTGTTACTAAGTGTATTAGGACACAAAGTCATTAATGTATCAATCACCATATCAATGATACATGTTAATTAATGATTAATGATATAAAATTATGAATGCTTTTGTGAGTAATCACAAAAATAACATGTATTTTAAAAATTTCCCAGTTTTAAGGTTGAGTACAGTGACTATTGATAAATATAACCCACATTAACGAAAGCTCTTGGGGGTCGTCTTAGGAGCATAAAGGGACCCTGGGACCAAGAGTTTGAGAACTGCTGCTGTCAGCAGTAGATATTACAGGAGATGAGCAACAGCATTTTCTGTTTTCATATCAGCCAAGTGCTCTGTGGGGGAAAGACCCTTGTGCAAATTAAGGAAAGGTTGCTTGAAGGTCCAGTTTGGGCTTCATTAAATACTTGGGTTGGGTCGGGCTCTCAAATGGACCCTGATGACAAGTTCTCACTGCGGCGCACGGTTATTTATTACACTCAGGCTCTGCCGCTCATTCCAGCCACGCCTTTTATCCCAGCGCAGTGCTAAGTGCAAGGCAGATGGACCTTCCTGCGTGAGTCAGGGATGCCCCCGAGTGCTCTGGTTTCTGGCCATTGGATGAGTGTCATCCTGTTGTGCTCACCTGTTCAGGTGCCACCTTTGTGACCGTTTTTGGCTTGTTTCGTGTCCCTGGACTGGAGTCCCAGACAAAACCCCTTTCTTCTCCGTGTTCTTTGCGGGCATGGGCCACGGGGGCTAGTTCTTTGCTGAGTGTTAAAGAAGGCGTCTGGTTCAGTCGTCTTGCAGATGAAAGCTCTGCGTCCACCTGGCTCTTTGGTCGCCAGCTGCACCTCTCCGGGGGCCTGACCTTCACACAGCACACCTCCGCCAGGCACGCCCGGGGAGAACCCGACGTCAGTGAGGATAATTCGGTCTCTGAAACGGAGTTTCTTCAGACCTATTTGCAAGAGGGGAGTATGTGGGAGAAAAACTTAAATGTCAGTAATAAATACATCGCAGTTTTCAACAAAGGAAGTGGTTCAGAGATGCTCAGTGTTGCCATTTTGCTATTTCAAAATTACAGGGCCGGATGATGGTCCTGTCTGGAAGAGGAACATGATGGTTATTTAAAAAAAAATGCATCTCATATTTCAAAGGAAATTTGAAGTTTTGGGAAGGTCATTCATTCCCATGAATTTTATTTAGTGCCTATGAGTGTGATGGGCAGCGCTGACTGCTGGAGTTCTTTATGTATTCTAGATACGAGCCCTTTATCAGATACCGGATTTGCAAATATTTCCTCCCACTCTGTTAGGCTGTCTTTTCACTTTCTTCACAGTGTTCGTTAAAATATAAAAGTTTTATTTATTTATTTTATTTGAGACAGAGTCTCAGTCGGTTGCCTCGGCTAGAGTGCCGTGGCGTCAGCCTAGCTCACAGCAACCTCAAACTCCTGGGCTCAAGTGATCCTCCTGCCTCAGCCTCCCGCGTAGCTGGGACTACAGGCATACGCCACCATGCCCAGCCCATTTTTTTCTATATATTTTTAGTTGGCCAATTAATTTCTTTCTGTTTTCAGTAGAGATGGGGTTTCGCTCTTGCTCAGGCTGGTCTCGAACTCCTGACCTTGAGCAATCCACCTGCCTCGGCCTCCCAGAGTGCTAGGATTATAGGCGTGAAGCTACTGCGCCTGGCCTAAAATATAAAAGTTTTAAATTTCAATGAAATAGAATTTATTTATTTATTTTTATTTCTTATGCTTTTGGTGTCACATTTAAGAATTCGCTACCAAATCTGAGGTTACCAAATCGACGCCCCATACTTCTGGACCTTGGAATTGCTGCCAAATGGCGCCACATCTGCTTCCTCTGGGTCATGTGACCTCTGGGTCTGTCCTTTAAGGATGAGCCAGGACGCTGGAGTGCACACCTGTGGGTGGGGGGTGGGGGGTGGCGTGGGGCAGCTGTCTGTGGAGGGGGATAGGAAACCTTCCTAGGAGCAAATGTCTACCAGTGAAAGAAGCATGAGTTATACACATGGGCTTGGCACTGCGCATCAGAGACTTTCTAGAAAGCACTTAGGGGTTATCAGTTGGAGAAAAAAGGGGTGGTGAAGAGGAGGTGGCAGGAACAGGGTAGGATGCTATCCTAAGGAAGAAGGATGCGCACCCTCCTGACACATAGCACAGTGCCACGGACACCCAGGGGCCCGCTACAGGTGCAGTGAGTCAGAGGTAAACTGTGATACCTATGGCGGGAGGTGGAGAGAGGTGGCCGGGAGAGTGTGCCCGGGCTGGTGGGATGCTTGGCCAGAAGTGGGCACAAGATAAGGAAGGAAGGAAGGAAGGAAGGAGGAGAGGAAGGAAGAAGGAAGGAAGGAGAAGGAGGAGGAGGGAGGGAGGGAGGGAGGAGGAATCAAGAGGGGTGCAGGGGGAGGGAGGAGTGAGCGAGTTGGGACGAGCCACCAGGTACAATCTATGGGGCTCGCACCTTCCGGTCTGGGCAGATCATTGGCAGATTCAACTGCACGAAACTTCGTTCTTGAAAGCAGGAAGGTCTCCGATCCCTATTCTACTGAAGATGTAATTGGAGCCCAAGGTTAAGGTGTGGAGTGGTCTGCCCAAGTGCATGCAGACCTCCTGGCTTCAAGGCAAGCCTCTTCTGAAGCTACTTGAGCAGTAAATGAAGCCATCGGGAGGTTTCTCAAGGAGCCGAGTCGGCTTCCCCACGATTTCACAGAAGAAAGAATGCCTTTCTTCTTCCGGGCTGCGGATGGTCAGACGCCATCTCGGACGCTGGCCACAGCAGGCGACAAAGGTGACGGTGAAGGACGGGACGCAGGTCCTCAGTTAAAGCAACGTACCACCTGCCACCCACTCCTCCTCAGGAGGCCACTGCCTGGAGAGAGCGCCCTGGATTCCCTGTGGGGTTCAATCCCCCAACCTTGTCGGAGAAATGACTTCCTTCCCCCGAAAGTTCAATACCTCTTCATTTTGCCAAGTGCAGCTATTCTGTGTTCTTTTGCTGCAGATGCCGTGCAACGCTTTAGTAGCTCATTAGCCCGGCCTGTGGAGCTGAGCTGATTCTAATTAAGGAAATTAGTTTGCGGAGTTAAACCGCGCCGGAAGTGCTCCTCGCCAGCCGAACAGGAGCTTGATAAATGCACGGCACGACTGGCAAGCGTCGGCAATCAGAGACAATAAAACGCTAATGGCTTTCAACGATTCCGGCAAGGTCACACGTCAGCCAGGGGTGGATGAGACAGGAGGATTATCTCACCAGGAATCCGATAACTTTGCCGGATTTGGGAAGGAACAAGGATGTTGTAGACGGGACTCCAGGTAGACTGGGTGTCAGAATCCGCTGAATGTTCTAGAAGAACTTTAGTTCCGAACCTTTTATGACCTTGGGTTTCTTGGTTTTTTGTCACAGGACGATTGGTAAGTTTGGACTCACAGGCATATGAGAACAGAGCTGCCATTTGTAAATTCTAATTTTTCCCTTAACCATTGTCTCTCCGAGTTGATTTTCTAGATGATTCCGTGAGGTATTGATATTTAAGCAGTGAGGTCTCAGGGCTCACTTGTTGATCATAACTAAGTAGTTGTACTCACAAGTTTTTCTCCAAGGATCTTGAGCTCTTCTTTCGAAACCTTGTATCGCGGCGGCCCTTTTAATATCCAGTAGGTTCTGGGAAGGAGGGACACCTTGGGAGTGGGCTTCGTCACTCTCAAGGAGACTGGAAACACAGAAAGATGAAATAAAACAGAGGCCGGCGGCGGTGCTCACACCTGTAATCCAGCACTCTGGGAGGCCGAGGTGGGAGGATCGCTCACGGATTCAAGACCAGCCTGAGCAAGAGCAAGACCCGTCTCTACTAAAATAGCAAGAAATTAATTGACAACTAAATAATATAGAAAAAATAGCATGGCATGTGGCGCATGCCTGTAGTCGCAGCTACTCAGGAGGCTGAGGCAGAGATCGTGAGTCCAGGAGAAGGGGTTGCTGTGAGCTAGGCTGACGCATGGCACTCTAACCCAGCACAGAGTGAGACTCTGTCTCAAAAAAGAAAAGAAAGAAAACCAGCAAAATGGTGAGAAACATATCCTTCAGAAGAAATTTGCAAATTAACAAATGTTGATGAATAGGAACAATTTTCGTTTTACAAATGGTGTTATGTAACACGCCAAACTCAGTTGGCTTAGAATCATACTCACGTATTTAGCTCACGATTCTTTGGAGCAGCCGTTGAGGGTGGGAGGTTCTTCTGGTCCCAGCTGGCTCGGCACAGGTCTGGGTGTCAGGTGACTGCTGGCTGGGCAGCTCACCTGCCCTCCTCACGTCTTTCATAGCTGCCTGTGTATCCAGCGGCAGGCAGCAGAAGGCGCCGGCCCGCCAGGTTCCAGCCTCTGCATGATCTTGCCCCACACCCGTTGACGAGCAAGTCCCCAGCTGAGCTGGTGTGTCCCAGCCACAGGGGGTAAGAAGAACGGGCTGACTGCAGTGAACTGCATGAAAGAAAGTGAAGAATAGTGAGAGACCATACAATCCCGGATGCTCGGGGTGAGATGGATTAAGGGTGTTTAGCAGCGCGGGCAGGGGAGAGGAGCGATAAGAGAGTGCTGGGCCAGGCGAGGGGGGGGCAAGATGCTGAGCAGCGGCGGCGCCTAATCCTCAGCCCCGCCGACAGAGAGGCCGATGCTTTTCACCCCTGCTCGCATTCACGACGGCCACTCCGTGTTGGGCCAGTCCCAGCAGGGCTGGGGGCTTGGGGACTGGCCTCACCGCTCCCCGCCCTTGCCGTGGAACTGCACCTTGCCTGACTCCTGAGGTGACCAACACACACGTTTCTCTCTTCCTCACAAAGAATGGGGGGAGCCCAGGCATCCCTGCCGTGTCTGGAGCGGCGTCTGCGTCGTAAATCCACGAATCGGTGGGACCTCTAGGTGAACTTCTTTGTCCAGGCGACCGAGAGCAGGACGAGACCCCCACAAACGTTCCTTAAGGAATCTCTGCCCTGGGGACTGAGGAGGTTCCAGGGTCACAGAGACGGAGGAGCTTACGCTCGGTGTGCTGCCGACACACACGGATAATTGCAGCACGGTCCAAGGGCAGAGGTGGGACGGGCACAGGGTGGGGTGCCAGCCGACGGAACCAAGACGAGACGCAGGACTCAGACGTGGAGGTCGGGGAAGAGACTTTCTTTGACTCATGACGATGATGAGCGTGGAAGGGGTCTCCGAGAATCTCTTTTTTGGACAGCAGTCTCATCTGTGCCGCTAAGAAGTGTCGTGCATCAGCCCGGCTCACAGCAACCTCACACTCCTGGCTCAAATTCCTCCTGCCTCAGCTCCCGAGAAGCTGGGACTACAGGCCACGCACTGTGCCCGGTAATTTTCATAATATTTAGTGCCATTATCTTCTTTATAGTAGAGACGGGATTCTCGCTCTCGTCAGGCTGGTCAATTCTGACTTTGAGCGGATTCTCCCGCCTCGCCTCGACCAGAGTGCTAGAGTATAGGTGAAAGAGCCACTAGCCGCCTGTTGTTGACGTTTGTTTTCAGGATTTTTGTTCAACAGAACATCGGAAGAGATCAAGTCATTGTTCCTGTCTCCTGAGAGGGAGATCTCATGAGACTGCTGGAACTTCCACGTGGGGACACCACTGGAGCGGGTCATGTCCCCGCATTTCTGAGGCTCCCGAGAGCTGGTGCCAGCACAGAGCCAGCGAGGAGTCTTGGGGAATCAGGAGAGGCCTTCTTCTCTCTCTCGGAGGGACACCGTCTGCTGCTGGGTTTTTTACGTTGGGGTGGGAGTTCACTGCATTCACTGCAGCTGCATCTTTTTCTATTCTCCCTGGCATTGTGGTCATTTTCCCATATTTACGAGCCACCTGTCTCCTCCACAAGGAGTCCTGCTTTCAGGGGCAGAGCCACTCTCTGGCCCACCTTACTCGCTGCGCCTGATATCCCTAAGTACGCCCCAGGTGGCCAGAACGCAGGGCCGCAGCAACTGCGAGCTGGCGCAGAAGCTCGAGGTGATGGTTGGAGCGCTGCCACCAAACAGCCTCCGCTTGGGTGCCCCGGGGCAGGGAGCGAGCTCCGCTCTCGGCAGTAAGAAGGGCTCCCGACGTCCGTCGCGTCTTGCTCTCCATCCTGGCACCCGCCCACCCCTCTGCTGTCAGAACGTGCCAGCGAGACAGACGCCAATTCGTATTAAGCCCAGCACAGTGATTCATCTGTGTTCTCTGCGCCTGAAATCAAATCTGAGTCAAATCTGATCACCGAGGAAAGAGAGACTCATTCTCCGTCCCGGCTTGCCGACAGTGCCCATCACTTTCTGTCCAGAGGAGGCAGGGGGCGGGGCTGGGCAGCAGCTGTTCCCCCAGCCCACAACTCTCGGCCTCGCGCTGGGATGCTCGCACCTGGGTTTTGTGAGCCCAGCTCGGACGCCTGCAGAAGGCAGCGCCTGTCCTTAGCTAGGCGTCCTTCAGAACCATCCCTCCGCTGGCTGTCGGGGCCACACGTCGTGATATTGGGCTTCTGTTGAAGTAAGAGCTCTTAGTCTTCAGGAACCAGACATAGACCAAATGCAGGGGAAGCGAATTCCACAAGCACCGCAGGTTGGGCGGTTTGACCGTCGTGCGGGAGGGACTCGCACAGAGACATCTGAGGGAAGGAGAAAGGGCTGAGGCCGCCCAAGACTACCAGGTCAGATTCACTTCTTTCCAGCGCGGCGTCAATCCAGCACTGCTGGAATTAGGATTTTTAAAGTCGTGTTTTGGGGCAATAAGAAAAAGCAACCTTGTCTGTCCAGCAGCTTCTGGTCCACGGAGGGCCAGCAACTCACAGAAGTGGAAGTTTTGTGGGAAGACGTCCCATCTTTTCTTTGTCTCACGTGGCACGTTTTCATTATTCCTTTCATACGTGGCTTAAAAGTCTAAGCTCCCCGCAGTGGGAATCATGCATTTCTACAACCGTACCGGACACAGAGCAACACTCGCGCAAAACTAAGCACGTGCCTGAACCGTTGTGTTTTCAATCTATGACATTTCACCTGAGGAAAGCAACTCCCACAGGTCGACAGCTCCCTGTGTGCGTTACAGTCCTTGCTCCTCCGTCCTAAGAAAGAAATGAGTTTGCAATTCAAGAGAAAAGGTGACGAGTTGTTCTGTGGTTCCCAATATCTCCTTCTCATTTTTATTTTTTAAAAGCAGTGAAAACCATTTACCAAATAAAACTTTACTGGAGCTTTAGTGTATAGAACTGCACAAGCCGGGCTCCTTCAAACCTCCCTTCATTCTTCCATGCACGCTCAGCGGTATCGGTTCCAGGCACCCTGGATGGACCCCGGGGACTTCCAACTCGGGCTCTCTGTTCGTGAATTCCACTGCACGGGAGCCTCAGGTTCCAGAGATGCTGAGTTCACACCCTCTTTCATTCATTTCAGGTTTTACTCTCATCTCTGGTAGAAATGCCCATTTCTTAATCTAACCCGTTTTTGTGTTTTTTTTTAAAATTCTTCGTCGCCTGTTAGAAGATTATGTGACTTCAAAAGTGATTTCTGAAGTCAATACCTCTTTTTAAAACGATGGCTGTGGTCTTTTCTTTTTTGTTTAGAGTCAAACTGCAATCAAACAGTGAAAAGATGTCAGGTTCATGGTCATTTTATCTGATCTTTTATTTCACTTAACTGACTAGATTTTTCTGGAATTGGGTAGGAAATTGAAAATAAAAGAAGAAAAAAAATCACACAAAGTTCCCTAGTGTACAAACTTTCTTTTAAAGAATTAGACTTTGTTTTTTAGAGCAGTTTTAGGGTCACAGCATAAATGGAGAGGACGGTACGGAGAGTTCCGTAGGCGCCCTGCCCCAGGCCAGGGGTGTCATTTGTTACAGTCAGTGAACCTACACAGGACATGTCATCGTCACCCACAATTCACATGGTGGTCACGATGGTTCACATACGGGCTCACTTTGTGTGTGTGCGTTCATGTTGTACCAAACATATATGCTGACATGTGCCACACCATTGCCATCACTCAGTTGTTCTACTGCCCCCAAACCTCTGTGCTGCACCCTTCATCCTCGCCCGACCTCAGCCCTGCGACCTCCGGCACTCACCATCTCTGCTGTCTTCACTGTGCTTTTCCAGAACGTTCAAATAGTGTGCAAATCGACATTGTCGTAGCCGTTCAGATTAGCTCCTTTCACTTAGGAACAGCCTTCAAGGCTCCTCCATGTCATTTCCATCAAGCCTATAATCCTGAGAGCCGGATGATATTCCACTGTCGGACGTGCTGCAGTTTCACCCACTCCTCACCTGCAGGAGGACCGTCCTCCGGTTGCTCCAAGTTTCGACAGTTGTGAACATAAAGCGTGATGAACATACACGTGGCAGGTTTTGGTGTGACCAGAATTTTCACAATCCGTTTGGTTACCATACAAGAAGCGTGAATGCCGGATTGTGGGGAGCAGGCTTCTTTTGTTTTAAGAGGCGCCACATGCTTCCCAAAGTGCCGCACCGTTTTGCATTCCACCGCAGGGAACGAGGATTCTGTCGCCCCAACATCCTCCCGGCATGTGGTGTCTTGCAGTGGTTTTTGGGATTTCGCATCCTTTCTAA